ATTCGGGAAATTTTAAGGCAAGTATGAGTTGATTAAAGCGTAGATCTTCTCGTTACCTTTTCATGGATATAAGGATCGTCGAAACCAGATTTATAATGAGGAAGTTATGGCCTTCGGAGTATATTAGGGTTTAAGGAAAACTCTAGTACGCGGGGCGTACCTAGGGAGTACGCGGGGCACACTGCTACGGAGGAGAGTATGCGAGGCGTAATATGGTGTACGCTGAGCGTAATACGAAGGGTTGAACGCGAATACGAGGCCTCGTACGCTGGGCGTACGAGGAGTACGCGGGGCGTACGAAGGGATTTAAGAAACCCTAATTTTTGGTGTTGGACGTTATATAAACACATTTAAGGCTCATGAAACCCTTATTTCTCAGCCTCCTCTGACCTTTTAGCCTCATATTTGAAACCCTAAGCCTCTCCTTTGTGTTTTGAGCTCATTGTGTCCATTTTGGTGTGTTTTGGTCCATATTCAAGAAGTAGAAGCTTGGTGCAAGGTGGTGGATCAACGAAGAGCTTGTGGATCTTGATTATTTGCTTCATTTCCAACTTGTTTGAGGTAAAAAGCTATGAACTTGTTCATTAATGGCTTAGATCTATTATATATGAGTTTTGGTCCCTTTTTGGCCCCAAGAATGAGATCTAGTGGTTTGATACCACTCCAGGAGCTATGAGTTGCCACTCTTGGTGTTTCTAAGGTTCTAGATTAATAAAGTTGTCACCTTTAGGGTTTAGAATCATCCATGCATAAGATTATGTCGATTTTGTTAAAGTAAGGTGCTATATCTTGAAGTTGGGTTCTTTTGGGGCATACAAAGTCACCAAGTCAGTGACTTTATGGTTCTAGACACTTATTAGGACTCAGATCTGTGGTTTGGACTTCTGGACTTAAGCATTAAGAGATTAATGAAGAGTTTGGCTTAATGGATGAGTACGTTGGACGTACAAGTCTGTACGCAACATACAAGCCAAATAGCGTGTACGCTTAGCGTACAGCTGAATACGCCCTGCGTACTCAGTCAAGTGGGATTTTGCATATTGGGCTTCATGTTTGGGCTTTCTTTTAGGCTTGGGTGTTTGAGTTCTTTTTGGGCCATCTAAGTGCAAATGTTTGGACTAGGAAAATGGTTGTACTTTAGGATAAGGCCAATGTAATGGGTTTGGACCCAATTTGGAAAATTGGGCCTAGGGTGGCTAATTTGGTATTTGGGCCTTTTTGATTTTTAGGCTTGGGCTTAAATCTTGTCCCAAACTAGGTAAGAGGTAAATTGTTCATTTACCCTAGTAATGGTGTGATGTTTTGGATGGGAATCCAATTATTAGTTGAATATTATTTGGTATTGATAGTTCGGGGGTCTGTCAGCTAGTAGCCAGGGATTTATCTGTTTTATTCCGCAGTGCGAGGTGAGTTTCCTCATTGGGTTTAGCGGGTCGAAGGCACCAATGCCGACCCATGGTTTATATGTTAGGATGCTAGATACCTGCGTGACTCTTGCATGTGTTGTGTGATGGTATGCTTACCGGGCGAGGCTTGATGCCAGGTGGGGCCTGGTGAGTATATTGTATGCTAGTTATCAGTATGTGTTTTTATGCTTACCGGGCGGGACTCGATGACTGTATGGTATGTTATGGTCTTTGTGATTATTGCATGTGTTAGTAAGACTATATGTTTATATGATTATATGGTTATTTGATTATGTGTGTATCGAGCGGGGCCTGGTGATTGATAGATCTATAATCCGAGCAGGGCTCGATGTCGGGCGGGGCTCGATGCAGGGCAGGGCCCGAGGCCGAGTGGGACTCGATACCAGGTGAGGACCGATGGAGGGCAGGGGCCCAATGTGTGATTTATGTATGTGTGGTATGCTTACGGTTTTCAGTTTATGTTTCGGGTATTTGTGTTTTCAAATGGAAGAGCTCGGGATGATTGCAGAGCACACACCACATGTTTCCGCATTCTGTGAATTACTCTGGTATGATGATGTCTTGGATAAATCTTGATCACTTTGGTTTTGTGGAAATGATATGTATTAACGGTTTATTAATTTAAACACGAAAATTTTATGGTATTACTTTTGGGACGATACACCAATGGCTACTCCAATGTTGTGAATGTATTCCATAGCTTGATCACAAGTTTATGGATTAAGGGTTCCAACCTAATTACAAATTTCTAGCTTCAATCCTTGAAGAAACCAACCGATTGATGGTTCTTCTGGCTGATTAGGGATTAGTGCGAAGAGATCCTTAAAGTCTTCAACCCATTATTCTACATTGTCGTCTTGGAACAATGAGCCTAGAACTTTATGTATGATGAAAAATTTTGTTCCATTGAATCAATTGAGAAGCTTAGTTCGAAAAAGTTTTCATGTAGTCGTTGGATGTTTGACCAGTAAGTTAGTGTACCAAGGCAGCACCATCTATACATATTTTAGAGAGATATAGATTTTGTAGCGGAGAAGTCTGGTGAACCAGGAAGTAGAGCTCGAATTTGCTCAAATAACCTATGGATCCATTCCTATAAAAAAATTAGAAGATTATTTTTTTTAAGAGGGAGACGATATAAGTGCTAGTTCAGTAGAGATGGACGAGAGAGACGATGCGGGGAGGTTGGAAGTTGGAGGAACCGGGAAGGTACGATTTAGTGGGGCTCGTGAGTTCTTATTGTTCATCATTAAGGTCGGTCATGGGGCTTTTTCTGGAGGTTTGGGATGGCCTTAAATCATCTTCTCCATAGATTTAGGGAGCTCTTGAAGGAGGCCTTTCATGGAAGAAACTGTAGAGGACAGATCCTAGAGTTGTGTGGAGAGATGTTCGATTTGTTTATCCTAGGAATCGATGCGAGATTGGAGGGGAGTGTTGAATTAGGGTTAAGTTGGTTGAACAATGGAGAACATAATGGCGGATGGTAATCCGACAATGGAAATAAATTGATAGAAACGGACAATCTGAAATTCTAGTTTAAAAATGGAACAGTAAATGAAAGAAACAAGATTTATGTATTAATTGAAGGCAAATGAAGAAAAATGATTCAAAACAATCGAAATTTTAAACTATGATTTTGCCCAAGCTTAAAATTCGAAGAACAATGATTCAAAAGAAAATTCTAGACATGTGACATCATGCCCAAATCCCAACTCTCTCTCTCTCTCTCTCTCTCTCTCTCTCTCTCTCCATTCTTCTCATTCCACATGTCCCTCCTTAATTCCTTTAATAGACGATCCAAGACATAAGCTCAGTGGGCTTATCCAAATTTGGTTGAATAAAGGGCAATAATAGGTTAAAATCTTCATCATCTTGCACCCCATGACAACCTTTAAAGAAGGTTTTTTTATGTACTCTATCTTCTAGGCCAAATTGTATTTTTATTGAGTGGATTGACGCAAATCCTCCGGTGATTATAAATCTTCCAAAGCAACAGTAGAGTAAATGCTTGTCTACAAGTCACAAATGAAAGATATAATTTTTTGTGTTGAAGTTTAGTTAAAGAAAATAAACTCTTAATTGTCATTTAGTTATAGATATGTTGTAATAGTAATAATCATTGCATTTGTATTGAATCTGTTAGTACTAATGTATTGAATTCGCACAACCAACTATCTGGTGACCTACCGAGTAAGAGTAGGTCACTAGTCTCTGCATAAGGGAGGTTCAATGTTCGAGTCTTGGGGTTTCAATTAGGAACTGCTCATAAGAGAGTATGCGACGTACTTCGGTGTCTTAGCATATCGCCCAAAGGGCAATCCCTCTCCCCCTATCCTCACAAAAGCATAGAGTTGTAGTGGTCGTTCAAGAACCCCTAACTCAATCATTTATTACACATCAATAGCTTGTGACATTTAAGTGGTTCTTATTCCCCAACAGCTTCTGGCACTACAACTGTTGCTTCTTGTAACACATTTAGTTTATTTTTCCTTCATGGTTTCCTCCTTGAGGTATAATAGAAACTCTTTAAATTGATACTCGATAAATTAATAAAATCTCCAACATAATATTTTTCTTTGGTCTAAACTGCTAGTTGAAAATTTAACAAATTTCAATGAAATTATATACTTTCAAACTACCCCTATCTATATACATATAGGGTCTCATTAAAATCATAAACTAACAATTATATAAACTACACAAACATAACTAAGACAATTTAGGGAAATATGATTCTATTGTTTTTTTTCTTTAAATCCAAGTCTAGTTGGAGCACATCTCTAACTTTTCTTATTGCACATCAAAAATTTATGGCGTTGTGTTCGCGAAACACGGCAAAAATTGTAAGAGTTGTTGGTTCCAAAGGTACTATATCATCATCAACATTATTTTGAATTATAGTAGCCATAATTTCTTTTAAGATCTGGACCTATAAACATGTATCATTTTCACCCGGGTATTTTCTTGTTAGAGTTCAAGACAAAGATCTGGACCTCTATGCATCCATTTTATTGTGATAGTTGAGATCATTAATCATGAGAAATCAAGATCATAAATGTTGTTTTCACAAGTGTGTCCACCGAATTTTGCAGTGTCGAAAACAATTTGTCATTGTCTCTTGTTCAACATTAATTGTTCAATCCGAGACTACAAGGTTGATAGCATCCAAAACATAAATCTTACCTGGATTAGATTGTCCCAACTCATAGCCTTCTAAAATCCTAGGCAAAATCAACTCTTATTTATTAGTTTTCATTTAAAATGATACATGAACTTTTCTAAGATACAAAATAATTAACGATGTAACCAAAATTTAACTTCAACTAATTACAAATGTCTCTTTATGAGTTGTCAAAACTGGTTGGATCTCCAACAAACAATTGAACATACGCACTTGCATTTAAGAAATATGACTTCAGCATATTAGAGAAAGATATACAACAGAGATAGTTAAACCTAAAACAACATTAATTAGCATACCTCAAATTATATATATATATTCATAATAAGCTCACTTCTCAAGAACAAAATCTTGATCCTCAAAAGTGCATTATGATTGCAAGTTGCGAGTATTTAGCCATTGAAATCCTCAAAATCATATTGCATCAGAAGCCTGTCTACTGTATTTCGACCAATGACTTGTTTCAAATGTAGCTCTCTCAAAACCAAAGCTGCCAACTCTTTCTCATCTTGATGAGCAATCCCTTCTACAATAATTGTATAAGTTGTCTCATTTGGCATATACCCTTTCTGTATCATCATCTCAAAAATCTGTAAAGCCAAATCTGTTCTCTGAGATTTGCAAAGTCCAAGTATAAGTGCATTGAAATTGTCGATATCAGCCCTGTAACTACTCTCTTCTATGATCCCAAATACCTCCATCGCTTCATCCAACATTCCCTCCATGCACAAACCTCTAATCAAAGATGAATAAGTATAAGAATCTGGAGTGAATCCATACCTTGTCATTTCATAAAGAAGCTGAAATGCAGGAAAAGTGTTCCCCTTTCTACACAATCCTGATATCACGTTCTTGTAGAATTCATGATTTGAGGAGTTTTGTTTACTGCTCAAGCTGTTGATGATGGAGAAAGCTTCCTGCACCATACCTTGTTTGCATAGGCCAGCTATGGCGTTGTAGGTTCCTTCATTTGGATTGCAATCCCTGTATGTCATTAAGTCCAGACACTTCATTACTTCTTCTACTTTCTTTTCTTCACAAAGGCGTGCAATGATTGGATTGTAGGTGGCAGCAATTGGTTTGAACTCTCCCTTTGACATTTCATTGAGCACCTTGAGTGCATTATCAGTTCTACCATGGAAAGCAAGAGAACTGATTAAGATATTGTAGGTAACTAAAGATGGTGACAAACCCGCTTCCACCAACTCAGCCAAGAGCCCGTTTGCTTCATCCCATCTGCCTTCACGACACAAACTTCTCAAGAGAATGTTATAAGTCACGACATTTGGAGAAAACCCTTTTGAAGGTAACTCCCTAAAGAAAGAAAGCGCTTCGTTGGTTCTGTTTTCCTTGCACAATCCAGTTAGCAGAACATTATAGCTTACAAGATTAGGTTCGCCCCCTTTAGAAATGATATCGTTTAACAGCTCCATCGCCTCATGAGCCCCTCTTTCCTTATAAGCAGCTTCTAGCAAGATTGAATAAGTGAAAGCATTAGGAACCAACCCTTTTTGTATCAGTTTATCGATGAACAGCAAGGTTTGATTCAAGTTCCCAAGCATACAAAGCCCTCTAACCAAAGAATTATAAGTAACAGTATGTGTTGGGTATCCGTGATCCTCCATCTTCTCCACTAACTGCATTGCATGGCCAACGTTCCCTCTTTTACACAACTGGCTCACCAAGAAATTATACGAGGCTACATCAGGGACGCCACCGGAATCAACTATCATCTCCATAACCCTAGTGGCTTTCCTGAGTTTTTTGGATTTACAGAGATCATACACCAGTTGAGTGGCATGGTAAACATCAGGTCTGTGACCTTTTCCAACCATGTATTCCAAATACAAGAACGCATCGTTAAGCCTGTAGTCTTTGTTTTTCGGATCGGTCCTACCTGATCTCCAATTGGGAAGAGTAAAAACAGCGTCTTTTGAAGCTAATGCTACCTGACTAGATGCTAACACCCTAGAAAATCTACTTTTGGGGGAAAACGAATGAAATTGAGGAGTCTGAGGTTTTCTGGCGTGGTCTGTGGATAGACTTGTCATCGGAGGCACCGAATTTAGCAGAACAGCCATTTCTAAATCGGAATTCAAATGGAAAACTGGTTTCTGTGAACTATGAATGGACAATTTGGTATGATTCTACGTAGAAGAATGAGGGAAGGCAGAACATACGAGATGCATCGAGTATCGTTGTTAGGTTCTGAAGAACTAGAAGAAGGTTGCTATTGGCTTGGGTCCTGTCCACGACGATATACCAGTTATCTGTAATTTAACGGAGACCCGTCGAAACATCTTATCGTCGGGAGGGTGAAAAGGAAAAGGTTAATATCAAGTTTACATCCTTCAACTTTCATCTAAAACAACTCTGCCCTCTCTCTTTTGAATTCGCATTTTTTAAGCACCACCCTATCCTTACTAAATACGAACTCTATTCGTTCCATCCATCCATTGAGTTCAACCAAAACGTACGTACGTACATCTTTTCCATATTTTAGATAAGACATTTGTTAACGACACAGATATACCATGATTAAGTAGACGAATTCCCGCGCGTTGCGCAGCGTAGGTTAAAAATATATTGTTAAAATGTTGAAAAATATATGTTCAAAATGGTTATATTATTGACATTAACTTTGACATAATATTTTGAACAATATTATTCATTGACATTAATCCACATTCATCATTAATAAAATTAAATAAAATTATATATTTAATATTATTTTTAACAATTTTTATGGTTGATTAATTTAAATTTTTACTTATGCGATTATTTTCTAATTTCAATAATGATTTTTATTTAAAATACAATTTATTTGTTTTTAACGTTATGTAATTTATAATTTAATGTTATTATCATTTAAAGTTATTGTTCTTTAGTTTTAAACCACCTATTATTATTAATAAGTTAAAGAAGACTTTTAAGAAACTCTTAATATTAATATTAAGAAGTTAAACATACACTAAATAATAAACTGATAAGATAGACAATTTGCATTTCAAAAGAGATTTGCATGGATAATATAACATATCCATGATTTTTATAATTTGATTTTATTATTTATAATTATGGTTCATTAGTTTTAAAA